GTGAAAGAACTGTTTACAAACAGCTGAATACTAGAGTCTCCCTAAAGATAGTTTTGCCTGCTCTAGAACTCCTGTGCTTGCATTACAGTATGAGGTTTCCTAGCTTGGTTTCTAATACGGGAATTGCTGCTGTGCTTGGGTCCTGCCAATTATCCTCAGATTTTTTAATTAGCTTGTTCCTAACTGGAAGCCTTGTCCTGGCATTGTAGCCAACTGACTTGAACATGTTTTAACTCACTGGGGTCAGAGATGTACATGATGCTTTCTTTAGTTCATCCCTACTCTCTTTCAGCCTCCAGAGATGGAAGGGGAGGACTTGGCTAACATCAACAACTCTGAAGAATGTCTTGTACACAGCTCTTTGACCTGTCTCTTGTGGAGGGCTCTTCCTCTTCTACAGAATAGATTTATTGCTGTGTTTCTCTTAAAGCCTTCTGGTTCAATGGTCAACATTAGCTGGCAGGGAAGGCAAAGGATGCTGATTTCTTTTGAAGTAGGGACAATAGTTACTTCAAAAGCAGGTCAACGGATGGGCTTGGACTGGGAAACATTCCATTTGGATGCTTTGAGAGTCTTAGAAGCTTCTAGACTGCAGTCTCATCCTGAGTGGGGTACAGTATGTTGGGTAAGCCAGATAGAGCACAGCACCCCCAAGCAAAACAAGAAGATATCCCCTGCGTTTTGCTAAATGTCTGTGACAAGCCTTGTTGAAATTAGTACTGGAACCTAGGTTGGGATTAAGGAACAGTGTTACAAGTTCCCTAATCATTCACTTAGAGCAAATTTACATCAGAAATTCACACTCATTAACTGTAATTTTTGTCATTGGAGAAGTATAGGAAGCAAGAAGAGATTTCCTTCTAGTTCCATATTGTCAATTTAAGGTATAAAATTTCTAGTATATAGGCCTTGCACCAGAATAACAGATTACAACTTCATGGCCTTCACATTTCATAACGAGACTTGCTTGTGATAGCTTCACCAGACTTTTTTTAAAAGAGAGAAGGAGAAAGAACATGTAAGATTCCTGCTAAATTTTGTGCATGCAGAGTTTTTTTACCTCCCTTTAAGTGTGGCATTGCCACACTAGAACAGTTAAAACCTATTCAAAAAAGACAAACAATTATTTAAATATTCAGCCAGAGATATTTTACATCTTCAGCTTTTTGTAGACATAAACTGATGTTTATATGCCCAGAAGAGTAAAATTATTGGTGTGATCTTTATCAGTACGTGCTAAAAACCAGCATGATTTACAGAAAAACAAGAAGTATTGTTTGAGCTTTTGGATCTTAAAGATTATTTTTTGTCTATAAATTTAAAATTTGAGTAATATTTTGTAGGTTTTTTGTCTGTTTTGTTTTGCTCTTAACCAAAGCCACTCTCAAATTTGGCCCAAACCTGCAGGCAGTTCTGCTTCAAAGCAGAATGTTGGCCAAATACATGCAGCAAGCAGACTAACGCAAATTTTTAAATAGCAATTAGAATCATTTTCTCTATGTTCACACGATTGAAGTTGTAAATTTTCCCCTGCATGTTTGAAAGCAGATATGCTGGAATATTTGCCTTTCGTTGTTGCAAAAGAACATTAATCTCCAAAGGAGTTTGACTGCTGCCAGGACTATGTTTGCTGCTGACTAACAGTATTGATGTCCGTACAGCTGAGCCAGCTGACTTGTTAGCCATCCATCTCTAGCTTTCAGTCAATGTCTACCAGTAAAGATGTGCTCAGAAAAGTAAAAGCACTGGCAAGAAAGGAGAAGGAGGTTTCAAGTGACCAGGGTTTACAACCACAGCTGTACAGTTGATCCTACTTTGCATGCAAACGTGTTGCTGAAGATTAGGCTGGGGTCAGGAAGCTAGACATTTCTTGTATGTGAGCCCCATGGAATGCACCTGTCTGGAATTCGGCAGAGCTGTCTGAAATTAATAGTTCACCACAGTGATTTAACTAGAGAGTAAAAGCAGTATCTTTTGCAGAATGGTAGTAATTCGTGACAGTGTATTGTTGTGGAAGAGTTTCATCTACCTCTCCTGGCTTGAAAGATAAGAGTTAGTATTTCTGACCTCTTCCTGTCTTTCACTGTGGCTTGCTGCTTTGGTTTCTTGCTGCATCACCCCTGGGTTTGTTATAGATACTAAAATATATCTTCTGTCTTGTTATATGTGAGAGCAGATAGAACTAGAGCGGTTTGCTGCTGGTTTCTGGCCCACACATCTAGCCTAGGACTGTCTTCTAGTCCTGTGTTCTGCCAGAGTTTCCTGGGCACTTTCATGACATATTCCAGGAGATTGGATGACATCCATTTACATTTGCCAAAAGCTTTTGTCAAGGTGTTCTTTGTGAGCAGCATGGAAACCGTGCAGTAGAGCTGTGGAGGACTGGTGCTGACCATACAGTAGACACAGAATCAGGACCAAGCCACGAGAACTGGCAGGATCCCAGATTAATAGATTCAGACATCCATGTTTGAAGCATCGACTTACTAGCTGGTAGTCATAACAGGAAAGACAGCAAGATTTTCAGATGTAGGATATTAAAGACTAGAGAGACAGAAAGGCCTTTCAGAAGGAACAGATAGATGGATAGACAGGACCTTGCCAGGAAAAGTTGTGCTGGCTGTTGGATAAGTAACAAATATCCATATTACTGCATTATGCTGATGTTCTTCTGTTCTAGTGCATGGAGTGCCTGTTCTTGTCCCTCTTTTGGGCTTGGTCACTATTTCATAAATGCCATCAGATGCAGGGAATGGATCTTCATGATCTGGTATTCCTTTTCAGCCTTGCATTTTAAACTGCTGACTTCTTCCAAGTCTGGCCATGACCATGAAGAGCTCTGCTGAAGCACCTGCTTAAATGTCATTTGCTCTGAATTTGAGAACTATAAAAAACCACTTGAAGGAAACACCAAAGATGTAACAATTCACATATGTCTATACATGAAGCGCGTTTAATTTAGGTTTTCTGTCACTGCAGGCTGATGTAAAGGTGAATCATTACAGTCATGAAAAGGGCCTCTTCTATCTAAAACCTCCATCACTGAAGACAGTATTGTAGTGTACTTTGTAGAGAATATTCGTAGTTACAATTCACATTCTGCAATAAGACAGTTATAACTAAGGACTGGGTAAGAGCAGACCTGTCTGAAGAGGATTAAGCAGTCATTTTCCTTGCACGCAGGTAGCTCATCCACTGATGGCCCCTGTTAGCAGAGCTGCATCAAGTGCAGTACTGGAGGCCACCTGATTCCTGTGCCTCTCCAGAATGTGTGCAGGAGGTCTTGCATTCATTTATCCTAATGGAACCATGCTCCTGTGTCCTGAGTATGGAGTTTTTGCAATTGCCAAGAGTGTGAGAGATGAGGAAATGCTGAAATAGCAACTCTTTTCAAGCAAGTTAAGTCAAATAGAAGTTGTCCTTATAGCACTGCAGCCAAATCAAATGTCTGCACTGCTACTCTCTGTATGCATCTGAACGTCATCATACAGTTTGTAAAAATAATCAAGGATCAGCGGCCACATGTAGTAATTTGGAGTTATAGGGTGCATAGCCAACAAACACTTCAGACCCACTGTGTGGTGAGTTGAACTGCCTTATGACATGCTGGGTTTCAGAGCAGCTCCTACTCCTTAGCAGAAAAAGTGAAAGGCTTGTTTGAGCCTGAGTGTGGAGAGAATGGGTGATGTCTCTAGCTAGTACATACATTACTGCCCTCCATGTATTCTCATGCTTTACACTTAACTCATCTTACTACCTTCCAGACTTTTTTGAAATAGAAAGCACAGCCATCATTTTTGTTTCTTGCTTTATAAAATGGATGTTAGGAAAGGGCAGTGAGGAAGTTCTAGGAGATAAAACCTGATCTGACTCATCCTTGTTGCTCTACCTGACATGTTATCATTCTGGGTAAACAGATGAATAAAAGCAAACAAAGATTCTAATTCCAGCAACGCCAGTGAAGGCATGATGAGGATGAATTAGGCACGGCATCACTATCCGTAGCTCCAGAGTAACATCTTTAGCAGGACTTCCATGCTTGTTCTTAGTTATAGGTCTATTCACGTTACTACTGAAAGTAATGAATTGTATTTAAAAGAATATAAAATAGCAATCTCGCTATCAGAATCCTATTCTGCCTGTTAAAGTGCCATGAAAGAAACCTGGCTCCAGCATCAGTGAAAGGGGTCCAGTACTGACAGTAGTGTGTGTGTATACACAGTGAGTGATGGCTTTGGGAAAGCGTCAGCGTAACAGCTTCCCATTGTCAGGACCTATTTTATCAAGTTAATATTGTGGCTGTTTTGAACTGATTTTCTTTCAAAAAACTCAGCAGAAGAAAGCTATTTACCCAAATGCCAAGAGAGCACAAGGCATCTAAAACCCTTATAAAATTATAAAAAATGAAAAAATAGTTAATTAGCATGGCCTATAAAACCAGACAGGTTTTTTTTGGATGTTTGTAAATGAACAAGATCTGCATCAACGTTTAAGGTGGGTAAATGACAAAGAAATTCCATTCCAAAAAAAGTTTCAGGGAAACTAGGCAGAAATGGGCTATGTAGCAAATGGCACTATGGCTATAGCGGAGATGCTTTACAAATATTTAAAAAGAAGTGTCCTTTGAAATGACAGCATCCTTTCCTATAGAGCAGTTGAGACTGTGTTTTGGATTTTTTTTGCACATTACATGTGCTTGAAATTCTAGGTTTACTGACAAATATTGGAAGTCTCTTTCAGTAACTGATTTGTGTCTCTTTTGTCTGGGCCTTAAAGAACAACTGGTTTTCTTAAAGGATGTGGGAACTCTGACCTGGGGCTGAATTGGTGAGAAGTTGCCTCCTGCAACCTACATGACATTATCCCAGTATAACGTGAGCATAGCTGTGGACCTTCCACTTAATTCCTGTTACAGATCAAATTGGGTCATATCTGGGGTCCTCCAGCCTACATTTATTTTGTGTATGTTCTGTAAATCTCTCTTCTTTTTTCCCCCCCAGGAATGAGAAGAAATATATAAGCAGATACTGGAAAGAAGTGAAAATTGGAGACTTTGTTCAGCTTCGCTGTAATGAAATCATACCTGCTGACATCTTGCTGCTCTCTTCAAGTGATCCTGATGGGCTATGCCATATAGAAACAGCTAACCTGGATGGTGAAACTAACTTAAAACAAAGACAGGTGGTGAGGAGGTTTTTAGAGCTGGTAAGTCATTGGTCTTAACTCTCATAAGATAACAGTTTGCTTCAAATAAGGGAACTGTTCACCAGTCCACTTCACAAAGCTAAGTCTGCTTGTTGTAGTAGTGCTAATGAGTTAGTGTTATGGTTGTCATTAAAACACCAGAACGTGCCAACAGTTGACTTCATAATAGTATAAGTTTTTCCTTGAATTTGAATAGGAATTATTTGGGGCAATTGTGTGCGGTTGGAAAATGTTGAGGGGTTTTGCTGCTTTTATTGTAGCTTGATTTTTGAAAACATATTTTAACTGCCCAGTGAAAAGATCCTTAAATATAAACAGCTACTTTTCCCGCCTGCAGTCAGGAATTCAATTAGGAATTTTGCCTAAAACTCTGTGTTGCAGAATATCCCTCCAGCAGTTGGAGCATTAAAACTTGAAAAATTTAAAGGGGCAGAATGCATGCATTCTAGAGGTTTGTGTGCTGAAAATCTGTTTTGTTGCTCTCACACTCTTACTTATCTCTCCCCAGCAGCATTGTTTTAAAGCAAAACAAAATCCAGGAGATCAGTTACTATCAGCAGAATGAGAGGAAATTGCCTGAAGTTTTACTTAACAATCTTACTGAAATTGTATTTATTTGTATGCCCTCCTCTCCTGACAGCTAACCCCAATTTCCTGTATTTTGGGTGTGGGAAAAAAAACAAAACAAAACACAAAAAACCAAACCAAAAAAAAAAAAAAAAACCAACTACTTATTTTACAGAATTCAGCTACATATTTTTTCTAATAGTTGTTCTCATTTGAAGAATGCAAACTGTGGCAGCTTCTGCCATTAAAAGGCCATCAAAAGTAACTACAAAAGCCTATAGCTGTACTGAGGTATATCAGTGTTAAAGACATCCAACCAATAGGATAAACATCAATATCTCTTCCAAGTAATTGTTTGTGATAGATATGGCCCATCTGTGAATAGCATGTAAAAACGTGAGATAAACATTTGTTTAATATTAAGTGAATTCCATGTAGAACATAGACGTCCCATGTGAGCTACCACCATGACAAGAAGCTTACTCAGCTACAGGCCAAATGTCTCAAAAATTCTGGTTGTTCCAAAGAGGCTAATTAAATTGCATCTCAAAAGTCTTATCCTGTTCCCACTGAGAGGAAATTTCTCCCAGTGGGTAGAGCTCCAGGGAGGAACATAGATTATATGTCCCAGTTCTCTGCCAACACAGACATCCAATATGACCTCAGGCAAATGATATAGGACAAAAACTATAGATTGCATATAGGGATGCTTTCATATTATTAGGTACGGCTAGAAGTGAACGACATGTCCCAGCTCTTTCACAAAGGAAGACCAATAATGGTACCAGCTACCCCATTCCTCCACAGCAGATGGTTGAATTTTCATGATTCAATACCTGACACACAGCAGGAGATGCTGCTAAGCACAGTGAAAAGAATTGATGTATCCAAGTACAGTGAATCACCAGACTGCTGCCCAGAGGAATCCTTTTTGCTGGACTAGGATCTGCTTCCCTGGCAACTGCTATCATTTGGCACTAGGACTGTGATACCTGAGGGTACTTGTCAACTTCACAAACTCCTCTACTTCTGAGAGTAGTGACCTCCTTAATGTGGCCAGAGCCTTTGAGCTCTGTCACTACCCTGCAAACAAATGCATGCATTAACCCATCTTCATTAGTGATCTGAACAATGGGATTGAATGCGCTCTCAGAAAACTGGGGGTGGCTGATTCACTGGAAGGTCATGCTGCTGTCCAGAGGGACCTGGAAAGGCTGAAGGAATGGGCTGACAGGAACCTTATGAAGTCCAACAATGAGAAGGGTGAAGTCTTTAACCTGGGAAGGAACAACCCCATACACCGGTCTGTGCTGGGGACTGCTCTGCAAAGAAGGCCCAGAGGGACCCAGTACTCAAGCTAGACATGAGCCAGCAGGGCTCTTTCACAGCAGGGGTGGTTCACAGCTTCCTGGGCTGCATGAGGAAGAGTCAGCATCAGCAGGCTGAGGGAGTGGGACAGCTCTGGGCTCTGTGCAAACAGGCATGGACATACAGAACCTAGTCCAAGTGATTAAGGGAATGGAGCATCTATCATAAAAGGGAGGGCTTGGAGCACTGGGATTGTTTAGCTCAGAGAAAAGGATGCTCAGGGGGGATCTCATCAATGTCTAAATACCTGAAGGGAGGATGCATTGAAGACAGAGATAGGCTGTTTTCAGAAGTGACTAGTGCCAGGAGAAGAAACAGTGGGCAAAAACTGGCACACGGGAGGTTCCCTCTGAACACCACACAGCATTGTGCTGTGTGGATGATGGATCCCTCACACAGGCTGCCCAGAGGTTGTAGAGTCTCCTCCTCTAAGATCTCCAAAAGCCACTTGGACATGGGCCTGGGCACCTTGATCTGGATGGCCCTGCTTGAGCAGGGGTTGAACTACGTGGCCTCCAGAGGTCTCTTTCCACCTCAGCCATCCTGTGATTTGGTGATTCTGTAATATAGCTTTAGTAGGAAAACTGGAAAGGACTACTCCAGCAATTTCATGTTTTTCACACTCAGTGAGGTTTAAGTTGCTGATCTCCAGACTAGGCAGCTGAAGACTTTTAATTTGGATTCTCTACAGTTCTACAAGACTCTGTTTAGAAGCGAATGGTCGTGTAATTTTCTCCTCAGTTTAAAATTTATCAGAGACTGAATTAAACCCCACTGGGGAAGAAGGCTGAGGAAAGAATGCCCACCAGTCACAGCTAGGTTATGTGCCAAGCAACTCAGTCACGGTATTTGTGGCATGGCTTATTCAGCTTACCCTGCTCTACTGAATAGCATCAAAGCAGGCATTTTGAAGAAATCAGTTACTGTGTGGATACTTGTAGTCTGCTTCATAAACACCTGACACTCCTTGCATTTCCATCCTATTCTCCTTCAGTATCTTAGTTCTCTGTAGTGTAAGTTGGTTATGAGACTTTTCCATCCCCAAACTGTGTTACCAGATGTGTGGATAAATAATTTCTTGAAATAATTTTTAGATCATTAGGTGTCTAGCTATGGTAGCGGTAGGGTCCATAATAATTTGTGAGGGGTTAAACTGGCATCAGTGACAGAAAGCTCATTCATTTCAATGAAAACACTCCTGGGCCCCAAGGAGTCAAGTATTGAAAGAGAGCTTGTGAGAAAACCACACGTGACTAACACCCCTCTCCTAAAATAGCTGAGAAAGCAGGAAATATCCAAGCCCTGGTTTGTGTGTCAGCTAAGCTGTAGGCAAAGTGCACACCTGCAAGTTCCAAGCCCTCAGTGGCTGCAGCATCACAGAGTTTCACTGTAACAGTGTCACGTGAATCATCGAACAGAATCCTTGCCATCCTCATTAAAGTCATGGCTAAAACATGTCTGAGCACACTGTTAAATCATACAGAAGCATTACCTGCATCCCCTCGGACTAGTTTGGCTCTTACTGGTTCTTGAAGGTGTTGCCCTGCTGAGAGATACTCAGTAGGATGGAGGGAGGAAGCTGCTTGGAAAATGTTCATTGAGTAGAAGTTAAACAGCAATGTATAAACAGCATGGAATACCCAGGTCACACTTATATTTGTGAGTGAAATTCATTTCCTGTCTGGATATATTCAAGTCACCACAACTGGAGGGGATTTATTGTTACATCTCATAAAATACTTTGGAAGGTCAACATTCTCTTGCATTGAATGCTGACCATCTTTTTATCAAAGCTCAGCAATGTTTGTTCACAAATCTTTTATAGAACCTACATCCTAAGCTATTCATGGATTGGACAAGAGTGTTTCTGTATTTTTATATTGCCATTTTATTCAGTGGAATAACTTTCAGCTATGTTCATAGCTGTTTGGTTCCATCTCATTCTACAGCCTTGTTGTTCAAGCAGGAAAACAAACAAATAGATTATGTATTCCTGACCCTCTCTTTCCCACACTGTCCTCTTTACAAAATGATTCTGCCTGGTCATGTGGCTTATCATGAGACAAGAAATAAAGATTTTCTGGAAGCTTCTTCTTAAAATATCAGCTGCCCATAGAAGTCTTTGAATAATGTCTCTGTAGCAGTGTCTCAAACATTTAAAATAAGTTGTGTTACAAAGCTTGGCATTTCTGTGTTTCCTATATGAATTATTTCTGAGAATACGCCAGGGAAGTAGGTCAATAAAGGGTAGCTATTTCTATACCCACTGCCCTACTGGGCATGGGAAAGGAGCAGGGGCAGAGGTGAAACAGTTGTTTTAAGCCACTTTAATGCTTTCCTGCTTCTGTCCCTGCCCTGTGCCCACTCGTGCAATTTACAGTCAAGATCTTCACTATCAATTTGGAATTGCTAAGTGTGGCATGCTCTGGGCACTGCTCCTGCAGCCACAGCATGCTCTCAAAAGCCCTTTCGAGAGAACAGCAAGCCCAGAGCTGTTATGCTAGGCAGAACTGTCCCTTCGAACAGTCACTATTCTGCCAGCATGGTACGAAGACTTGTTTTGTGTCTCAATTTGGGATTAACAGCGTAGTTGCAGAGGACGTAACAGGTCACAGTTTCCCTCGTCCAAACCTTTGTTTGGAAGAAAAGTACTGTTCTGATTTCTTTTTGGCCTGACGCTAGAAACTGCAATAAGCAGTTATAGAAACAGTTCTCATCTGTGTCTCCAGTATTTTGCAGACATTCTTATGCTCTAAACACACGCTCAGAAGATCCAAGATCAGCATTTGTGGGCTGGGATTGGACCTCTCCGCTTCTGAATTCCAAGAAGCTGTCCTCCTTTACAGTGCAAATGACCAGAAATGTTGCTTATTTTGTGCTGCATTGATTCATCTGAATAATTTTTAGTACACCAAGAACCTACTATTTGCTAGCTTTGTGTGTTTGTTAACGAATGGAATCTGTCTAACACAAGACTGCTTTCTGTACACCGTTCTACGTTCCATTGATAGGCAAGCTGTGAAAAGTCATCAATACGTTCCTCCTTGGTGGCTTGTATGTCTGAC